GACTACTATAAGGAATACTTGAACGTGCAATTATTTTTGCGCATACTTTGTTTTCTGACTCTACAGTCATGAGTCCATCACTATTGCTTATTGCAGTATCAAAAATATGATTGAAATTACTAAGGAAACAGTATTATTTGTGTATTCCCATTCAGTTCAAACGTATTTACTTTGATAATGATGCTTAAACCCATAAAAATGTATCGAGTAAACTGAAACTCTCTAATTAATAAAATAATGTTCATTTTATCAAGAGACCAGTGAATCTGTTGTATAGGTTCAGGTGACTAAAACGATCTTATTTAAATATTTCTCAATGTACTAGTCTATATAGTTACTTCATTCTTTTGCTTTACAGCTTATCAAAATGGTAATTATCGTAGCCTCCCTGTATGCTATATCTCAATTACCAAGACATATAATTTATCTGATTACAATGAATAAACCTGATGCATTTCAACGAGATACAATTATCTACAGTTGGTTATTATGTCAATTAAGTGCTTGGTCAGCTACATGTTATAATCCTATTGTTTATATATGGATGAGTCGAACATTTCGACGTGGTTTATCTGAAATTTTCAATAATATATTTGTACACAATGTTGATCAATATTCAATGAGACAATGTACTAAGAATAATTCCAGACAAAACAAAAATAAACATAATGATGTTAATTGTATTAGTAATCGGCATCTCCAAACACTCAATGGAAGAAGGTATTTTCCTTATTCTAAATCAACTACTTGTAATTGTAACAGTAGTAAAAATGAATTCATGAAAAATATTTATCAAATGAAAAACTTGGAAGATCATACTATTAATGAAGAGTATTCATCTATTAACAGTCAATATCCTAGCATGAAAACCACATAGAACATGAGAATGATTTAAAATGAATAATCAAATCGACAGTCGGTTCATAATATGAAAAAATGATAAATGAATTTGGTGAGAATGCCAAATAATGTATGATGAATGTCTCCCTCCATAAGAATAGACAATTAACGTAACACAAACACGATGAAGCACACACTTTTAGAACTTACAGATGTCAAAAACAGATGGACTGCATAAAAAATCGAAATGAAAATAAATAAAAGCTACTTTTGAACCTAAAAAATTTTATTGAATCAGACAAATAACCAATTCAATATTGTCAATAATTTCCACTCGATAAAGTGAGATACTTCAAAAAAATGAAGTAGATAAGTGTTTATTCTATTCAGAAGTAGGCTTTTATATACTACGTACTTAGAGTAATTCTATCAGAGAAAAAGAAAAAAATTTATTGTAGTTTTGTTTAAATTGTACATAAATTATTTGATTCAGTTCAATGTTCATTTAGTGAATAGTACAAATCAATGTTTTCAATTGTATTTTAATTTCATGTAATTAAGTACAATTGAAATTCATATTGAGCGCGTTGAATTTCAGTTTTTGCTTGCGTGTTGCAGAAGGTCTTAGATATGCTGAGATTATTCAGGTTGCGTCAGATTATTTCAAATTCGCATATGGTGTTTCAACATGGAAAGAGCTTACTAACGCGTTACCATGAGAAGTAGATTATTTCAGGTGTTTTTGATGTTTGCTGTTTGACACATGACGTACAGAAAGGTTGTATTTCAGCTTATTTCATAAGTGCAGTTGGTATAGAAGCTCATAGTTTGTTAGAGGACTTTGTTAATCCCGACAAACCTATGCTTCATTTTTCGTAATAACTTTTGAATCACAGAAAAAAGTACAGTTCAGCAAGCTAGTTTGTGCTCCGACTTAAACAATCAGAGATTTCATACTACAGCTTCAGAAACAAGCTTGTAAGTGCAATTTCGGTGAACAGCTGTAAATTCACTCCATGGAGGAAAGATGAGGGTGGTTATGGTAATATTCTTCTACTAGTTTGTGAGTATTGCTGACCTGTGCTTGAGTAAAAAGGCATTCAACCACTGGATGTCTATATTTCTTTGTGCACTAACTCTTCTGTTAGTATCTCAATTAAAAAACCTGATCTTTCAATACTCGAATGCTGTGGAAGGTATGAAAACTCAGACAATACACCTGGAAGTTAATGGAGAGCTTGTCTTTTTAAGGTGTCGACCAATTTTTTATTGTTTAAGAGAGGCTATGAAGAATGAGTTAGCGACAGATGTTTACCTACGCTCTGGAATTCCTACCTAGGGACTATATTGCTGATCTCCGTGAGGTAGTCCTCAGTTCTCATGTGCCAGACGTCTACGATGTTCTCAAGCAGGCGATTTTAAGAAATTTCCTCGCATCGAGGGAGGAACTATTGAGGACCTTGTTAGCACGTCACCCACTGGGTGATGTTAAACTGAGCCACCACCTTACGCGCCTGCACTCCTTGCAAGGGCATGTGACAGCCGACTCCGAAATAGTTAAAAAATTGTGGCCTGAATCCCTACCAGCACACATTTAGCCCACGATCACTGCTCTGCTCGAAGACACGCCACTTAACCAGGCTGTCCTTATAGCAGACAAAATTGTAGCATGAACTAGCTCACGAGACAACTACATGGTTGTCTCTATCTCACGTCCGACCGTAGACCTCGATGCTAGTCGCACTTAATTTGATTTAGTCGCTAATGTTTTGTCACTCTAGGTAGATTCTCACAATATCTAATGTGACTGAAGTAAATCACCTAATTGTAGCAGGCCTAATTTACCTCAGGTAGGTCCTTCTGGGTTCTGAAATTTACTGTAATCAAGCGCGGAAGCTTAAGGGTAATCAGTGTAATGAACGATGTGGCTGAAATACGTAACCTATCATTATGCTGCAAAGGTCTATGCTATTAAATAACAAGCGTCACTATTGTGTATTGTCTGACTGCTCACGATGAAGCCGTATTTAACCTAACTCGTGCTTTTTCTACACTGTGACCAGGTGTTCCACAAGCTCAGACAGGAGTGACCTGACACAAAATATTAGTACTGCCTCGATACTGCGGAATCACGGTGAAAGTAGATCCAGCTACTGCAGAAGCGACATTCAAATGTGTAATCATTTGTATTATCTAGCGACAAGCACTATTATGAGTCTTGAACATTGCAAAAAGTCAGTCATTATTATTATTATTATTACTATTATGAGTAGTGAGTAGTGGATAGCGGTGTTATCTAGGACTGATATTTCATCCTTCTTGGTAGTTGGTCACCTAAATATACCTGCGTTTTGGAGTTGATGTTCATTCCGGGACTCAAGCTCAGTAGAGTTTGCTTCAAATGCCATCGTGTTATCGTGTAATATAGATTTATAAATTTATCTCTGTGTTATGGATAGTGAATATTCCATTTATAAAAGTTGTTCCTAATATAAGTATACGTATCTTTGCTGAAGATTTACTGAAATATCATTGACATATTTCATTTAACGTAACTTGTGAGGTACGATTACTTAACATGAGATCTGCGCAAAGTCTAGGATAACACAACATAATGTGGTTATTCACAGTTTGTGAAATCGATTCATTTAAAATATTTTTTTACGTGAACGACTATTTCTTTCACGTGTTTGATGTGTGTTGAACTTTGAACGAATGAACGAATATGTAGTTTTGTTTTACTGATTTCCACAAAACTCTCCGGTCTATTATACCAGAAAATTAGCTGTTAATGAGTTAAAAACAAGTACTACACAAATGTATTGTTGAGAAATGTTTATTCCTTCACTGCATCGATATTTATCCAATGGGGCTATTAATGACTACTAATGTTTTCAATCATAAAGATTTAAAGAGTGGTTTTATCATGAAGATGCTTTATAGAATGTACGACTACACAAAATAACCAAATTTTTCGATACTAGAACGAAAAATGCATCTCTTTGAATCAATGATCAATTGAGAATGCATTTCAAACAAATTTCCCCTCAATCAACTGGTTGCACTGTTCGTTAAAAAGAAGTAGTGATAATTCAATACTTCTTTTTCACGACCGTAGCTGCTACCTTAACGTAGTGGTCGGGCTTGCCAATCGTCTTCACCCAACCGAGCTATACGGGCTGGAACATATGTTCCTGCAAGTGCTACCATGCCAGGCTGGTCGACTGGACAACGATGAGACTAAAAGCAGCTACTCAAGGTTTGAGGGCGAAGATGTACTGCTGACTGCAGAGGGGTATGACAGCAGTAAAGTGTTTCCTTCGGACAACCAGCATCTGCAGCGATGCTGCCTTCTCACAAGGAAGGATGGAAGAGTTAGTAAAGGTCGACCCTAAAAATTTAACACCTCACTCTACCTCATGGATTTCCGTCTCCTTGAGTAAGGGTGCCCACTAATGGCTTTCAAGAGCGTAGCCATCACTCAAAAAACCCATCATAAAAAGGCCATGTGTGACCGGCCTCAAGCAGTTGTCCATTGAGCCCTGCGATCACGCATCCGGGTTTCTAAGACCAACACTAATACACCTTACTTTTCAGGTTCCTCAAGAAACAACCTTCCACGGTGTAGGCAGCCGGGAAGTGACAACCACTCTCATACTCGTAACAACACACGAGACCAAATTGGTCAAAATCAAATCCTTCCTATAGTAGTGAATTATGAATTGACAATTTCAGAATGAGTAAAACAATTTTATTTAAGTTATATACTTTACATTGACAAATCTTTATTGGTTACGAGTAATTACGAGTAATTACAAAAATATATTTAATTATCCTAAAATATTATGGAACAGTTTCAATATTGTCAAAATGTTTTGGATAGAAAACTTCACGAAGATTTTCTGTATTCAGAATGCATTTTCTCAACCAGTCGTATAATAGTATACTAAAACAAAACACAACACGGTCAATGAGTAATATCATTTATGTAATGATAGTTAAAATTGAACTGTATAAATGATACAAAGTGTTCATGATGAAGTTTGATCAGAAATAACTTCAACCTCATGTGAGTTTTGATAGAACTGGCAACTTTCAACGTCATCATCATTATGTCTGTTGCTTGACAGTAATGTTGGAGGTTGATATGCTCGTCAACTGATATGCTTGAATGATATTACGAGTTCACCTTGCTCGGTAAACGGAACGAGAGCAATGACTCAGTTACACGAGAGGCTATTGTTTGTCCGTGGCCCGGCTAACTATACAAGATATATATGCCTTGATAAGGCGCAGCAAGTGTAATCTACAAGCACCCAGGAAATGCAAGGTTGACAAGCACACAAATCGAGTTTAGTATTACTTGACAGAAGCGTTCTTGGGAGAGCCACAAAATAGTGTACTAAAATAATCCATCTATCAAAGACAATCAAGGATTTTACGAGTGCGGCACGTAATCTGAAGGTCGACTAATCAACTTATGCGTGAAAACATAATAATTCAAAGATTTGGACATTTTCCAAGTTAGTTGTGTGGATCTAACATTCTGAACAGAAGTGTACAGTGTGTTTTGACTTTCTGTTATTCACGTACTAATAATTCATGTGTAATAAAGCTCACTGTTTTAACCTGCTTGATATGAACTAATCCGAAATGGATATGTTTTTGGATTGATAAGCTTTGCATGCAGCAGAGTTTAACTTTTAACGGTCTCGAAAAGAAATGTTACTTTGAATTAGTGATTGCAGCACGGGGTTCTCATGAAGTTCACTGAGTTGATGATCTCACATCCAGTTATGTTATGCAACTTTATCCATGTGAGATATTCCAGTCAACTTTCCAGCGGACAGTGAATGATGATTTGTTTTTTATTTAAAAGTTGAACAAATAAACCTTAATACATTGGGTGCATGTTTACCATGTAGATAAGAATCTATTCTCAATTGCATTACCTGTGTGACTCAACATAAACTAGTCATCTGATTGGTTCATCTGTATAAGAATGTGGTTCTCTTCACATGAGTTCAATACGTTTGT